GGTGGACCAGGCTATGCAAGGCATAGCCTATTAGGCACTAATAGGCACTAATAGCCTCCAGGACCATAGCTGAGAGGTGGGACTGAGCCAGCGGGGAGTCTGGGGGGCTGGTGGACTGGAGTGTTGGGCACTGAGGTGAGAGTGGGGGGAAGGTTGGGGGGGTGGACCAGGCTATAAAGAATAGCCTATTAGTCACTAATAAGCACTAATATTCTCCAAGATAATAGATCTGCGCTCCCTAGCTCTCGCTAGGCCCAACCACAGCTTTGGGAGTCTGGGGAGCTGGACTTGTGAATTGGGACGAGGCTAGGCTGGGCAAATAAGCACTAACACCCCTGCTACCCTGTGCACTCCCAGCTCAATACCCTTCCACCTCCCAGCCCCACACCAATCCAGCACCTAGCACGCCTGCCACCCTCCCCACTCCCAGCTCAATACCTATCCACCTCTCAGTCCTGCACCAATCCAGCAGCCCAGCCCTGCCCTGTCACCTGGTGGTTGTGCCCAGCTCCTGCCACCAGCTACCTAACTCACTCCCACCTCCTAACGAGCTACTGGTGCTTATTATTAGTGCCTAATAGGGCTTGTTTAGCCTAGCTTGGCCCAGCATCCCCACCACCCCCCCCACCCCTCCCAGCTCAAAACCCTTCCTGCACCAATCCAGCTGCCCAGCCCTACCCTCTCACTTGGTGGTGCCTAGCTCCTGCCACCAGCTAGCCCGCTCGGTCCCACCTCAGGGTTTAGGGTTTATCAGTCCAAGCTGAAGGAGCTATTAGTGCTTATTAGTGCCCAATAAGGTTTGCTCTGCCTAGCCTGCAGCCAGCCCTGCCCCCCCCCCGCCACCAGCTACTTAGCTCATTCCCAGAATAATGTCGAGTTAAGTGCATTTATATGTTGTTATTAAAAAATATATATATATATATAAAACCTTTTGTGGCTCGACTTGGTGAAGGATGCATGTTACAAACCCTCCAATCCACAAGCTCACCCTGATGGGCAAAAAGTGTCTAGACAGTATCTATTAGGCACTAATAGGTGGCCGTATTTGGTGTGCTGCTGGCTGGTGGCGAGTGACCTGTGCAGGTAGCTGATGGCTGGTAATAAACACAACCATACAGATGTGCGGGATTGGGAGGCTGGCAGTAGGCAGGTGGAGAGTACTGAGCTTGGCCAAGCAAGCCTAGCTAGGAAAAAATGTGAAGCGGTTGATGCTTATTAGTGGTTAATAGGTATTTTATCAGGTATATGGTTAGCCAAATAAGGCTATATGCGGTTTTCCAAATAATGCTTCTCTTATTTTTTCACCTTCCTCATAGAGGAAGCACGGTTAGCCAAATAAGGCTATATGCGGTTTGTCAAATAATGCTTCTCTTATTTTTTCACCTTCCTCATGAAGGAAGCATGGTTAGCCAAATAAGGCTATATGCGGTTTTCCAAATAATGCTTCTCTTATTTTTTCACCTTCCTCATAGAGGAAGCACGGTTGGCCAAATAAGGCAAGATTATGTTTTCAAATAAGAAAACATCATTTTCAAATAAGGCTTTGAATAAGGACGACACATAGCCCCAAATAGTTCAAATAGTCTTCAAGTTGGCCGTTCAATAACCTCAATCTGGCAGAATCCCTCAAAAACAAATAAGGAAATGAATAAGGGAAAAAATAAGGAGCCCACACCTGGGGGTGGCTCGACCTGGGGGTGGTTTGATAACCCATGAATCAATGACTTGCACGAAGTGTATGCATTGGCTTTTCTCACAACTGACTCGGATGACCTCATTTGTCACTTGCTTCTTGCTTCGTTGAAGTTTGACAAGAATGCCTCCAGTTCTGTTGTTTCGTTTGGTGACAAGCGTATTCGGATCTGGTGTCCCAGTGGCTCCATTGATGATTCAACATTGGAGGAGTTGCCTGGTGACTTGACTCTTGATGGTATGAAAACTGAAATTGGCAATTTGGATTGCATGCGATGTGGTGACTTGATGACTGAGTCCGAGATCGGTGACTTGAGGAAGCAATGCAGGGTTATTCCATCTCGATGGGTGACTACTCGCAAGAACGCGACTTTGGTTCGTGCTCGGATTGTCTTGAAAGACATTGCAAAGGGTGATGAATCAGCCCGGTCACTCGGAATATCGTCACCCACTCCCTCGAGTGAAGCGTTGTTTGCCATGTTGTGCTTTGCTGGTCAACGAGATTGGCTGGTTGGGGCAGCTGACATATCGGCGGCCTTTATGGCCACGCCGCTACGTGCCCGGAATGTGATTGCCAAGTTGCCTGCAAGCATCACTTCTATGACAGGGGAGGCGTTGTACCTATGGCTGAGTAAAGCCCTGAATGGACTGAGGAGTGCCAGCCAGGAGTGGAATGTGTACTTGTCGTCGATTGTTGATAAGTGCAGGTTGCGTTCTTGTGGTTTGGAACCTTGCTTATACAGCGGTTTGTTGCCTTCCGGTGAACCATGCATGATTCTGTCATATGTTGATGATTTGATTTGTGTTGGGCCATCGGTTGATGCAATTGACTTTGTCTTTGATACCGTTGGG